ATACAAATTTTAATTTTTCCTGCTGCTTCCACTTTGCGCTTTGTACCTTATTGTGGTTAATGTTTTTCAGTTCTTTCACCAGGTTCAAAAAAATTTAAAAATTTACGTGGTATATATTTTTTTAAATTTTTTCATCTTCATCAGCTTTCGTTTACCATACATCTCTTAAGAACGCTTTCCGCCAATTTTCTTTCCAGCTCACGTCATACCCGGTGGAATTTTTGTTGCTCTACAAATTCCCAAGTAAAATTTTAATGTCATGCGATTTAATGCACAATTTCGCATGCTCCAATGGGTCCACTTCGATTATCGTCGCACACCGCTTGCGGTACCTAATATCATAAAACTAATGTACCTATATTCAGTTTTTTTTTATTTAGAAACATGAATACATAATATGAATGTACTTAAATACCTATGAACATAAGTATGTTATACTCCGCTTCACTTGCACAGCCACACTTTGTTCGAGCTAAGTAATATCTTCACTTATTTATAGGCACCGGAGGAGCTGAATTTTAATCTAATTTTAAAGAAAATTTGTGAAAAATAAAAAGCAACTTTTTATATAATTTTTTATGCTGCATTTTATAAAACAAGGTGGGTGCTCTGTCTGGTTATCGGATTATGCCGTTATATTTTTCTTCAGTGTCTCCGAATAAAACGTCCGCACTGCGGGAAATGTCCATCTGCAAAATTATGAATTTACTGATGGCGACCGCATCCTAGGTGCGCAAAATCATTTAGTAAGACCAAATTTAGATTTTTTCAGCTATGATTGACCTGCATTGAAATAATATTCATTTTCTAAGAAGCATAGGTGTTCATATATATTCTTTTACTTCTTAAAGGCATGAAAAAATACCCAAATTGTGTGGTAACATCCTTTGCCTTGAATACCATTACATATTTTGTCACTCACATACAAATTGTGCCAGAAAACAAATAACCTCAAAGCACTAATAAAAAATTGTTAGTTTACAGAGTGTTTGAAAAAAACAACACAATTTGGCCAAGAGCATTAAATTGAGCAAAATTTATGCATGCATATGTATGTACATTAGGGTGGTCAAAAAAAAGTAAAGTCGGTATTATAATGCTCTCACCCTCTAGGATTGTTCTATATCGAAAAACAAACATACTCAGGTATTATGTATAAGGGAAAATATTAATTTTTCGTAGAAATGGTTTAGAATTCTTTAAAATCAATATTTTTCAATCGAAAAACTCTGTTTTAATACTTATTGTTTATTTAACCATTTCCTAATATCAACTATGTTTATAGGTCCCCCCAAACCCCATAAAGTGCTATGGAGGCACAATTTGGTACTATTTCCAGAAGTCTTCTGAAGAGAAACAGAGTTTTCCGATCGAAAAATATTGATTTTCAAGAATTCTATACCATTTTCGCAAAAAACTTTTTTTTCCCCTATAGAATACATGGACATCTTCCAGCGACCTTTAACTATTTTTCGATTTCAAAAAAAAACCCTAGGTGTGAGAGCATTCAGAATCCGACTTTACTTTTTCACGCGCTTTTTTGCACCACCCTAATGTGCATTGTACATACATTGTATGTATTTATGTATGTGTACATTCATGGTATTGTCCGTCAGTTTTGTTTACAGTTTTATTGTTGACAAATTGCCATTTTATGGCTGTTCAGTTGAATGACTAAATATTTTACAAAAACAACAATACAAAGAGCAACATATTGTGACAAAAAAAATGTGGTACTTTTTCCATTGCAACTTTTTTTTGGGCCTACTCGGCACAACCGGACAATAGTAAATTAGTTTTTTCATGGCTCTCTTCTTGCATGCCAGACATTTGTTTGAGCCGTAAAAATGCCTTGTAGCCAATGACCACCACACTTTGAAGTGATTTAGTATACGGATAAGTAACTCCTGGTAGGGTTACTGGGCAGTAAGCTAAGCACTGGCTGGCAACTGTACGATCCCAACTACTCCACATTGCCTGTCGCTGCCTCCTCCAACTGAGCAGTTATGGTTTTTATTTGGATTAGATACTCGTATTGTATTACAGTTAGAGAATAACATATGTCAGACATGAATAAATTCATAAACCCTTGCTTGGCTTTTGTGCACGTGTCCTTTACTGCATTTGCATGTGGTAAAATTCTTATTACAGCCTAATATTCGTACTGTGCCCATGGGCTGCATGTGTTACAAGTGTTTCCAGGCAATTTTGTTGCAGTCGATTCACAGCTTTCAAATACTCAAATCTCTACTCCGTTGAGTATTGCTAGTTACAAGCAATCGTATTTTGTGTACATATGTGTAGCCATTATGTGGTTAACCCAAGTATGAGCCTGTTATCCTGGCTGAGTGCCAAAAAGTAGCTTAGTTCTAAATTTTTGTAATCTCTTCTTTTTATTTAAAACCATGATTCAGCATTCAGACTTTATTCAAATTATTGCAAATAAAACCGACAAACGGATGTCGTAGGAAATATGTGCAAAAAATAGGACAAAAAGAAATGTTGAAGGATGACAAAATCTAACGGCTTCGAATTTACTGCAAAGTCAATGACTTCATTCTTTTTGTTTTCGATACTTACATATGTATTTACTACGTTTTAGAAAGAAATGGAGATGAAAGAAAAAAAGGGTTTCCGTTTTTTGGGTAGAGTTTTCGAATTGGCGTGCATTGATATGTACATAGGTACATAATTATACATATCTAATAAAAATACAGTACAACAAAAAATACCATCGTTGACGAGCTAAGATAAAAAATTAATAGCCTTGATCAAATGCACGAAAAAAGGATATGCCATAAATTAAGGGAATGAATAGTTTTATAAGTACATGTACACATAAATCAGCAGCAAATACATGCATAGTACATAGATACTAATGTGATTGTCTATCCTGTATTAGGTAACAAGGTACTTCTATAGCGGTTGTTATTTAACAATTTCCCAATTTAAGTTGTCTTGAAACGTCTTTTAATATTTTTGATAGAACTTTGGATAGGTTCATCTGGCCGGCGTTGAGCCGCAAATAGACCTGTGGATCGCAAGCGTTGCTGGTTAGAGCCCAGTTTTACGCGTTAAAGTAGACATCACAAGGATGTTAACGCATTTTGCGAATTTCAGTAGAAATTTCAGTCCTACTTTTGAGATGTCCTCTAACTTCTCGAATTTGTAGGCCCTCAAGCATTTTAGTCGTGTTTTTGACAGTGCAGGACATCGGCAGAGAAGATGTTCCAAGGTTTACCTGGTCTCCCGCTCCTGTCCACATTGGTGATACCCATTTTTTGTGCATGAGCAGCCACCGGAAAATGTTCCGTAAGCAATCCGGTAACAATTCGGCAATCGTAACAAGAAGGGAGCATAGTTGATTCCGCCGTTTTCGCACATAATTTTTGCAGATTTTCAGGTGGTTAACTCATTTCATCTAGCCCTGAACAAATGTTGAAGTGGTCTACGAATGTAGTTTGTCTGTTCGAGAGTCAGGCCGGTGGCTTTCTTGATAGTCTCATCTGCTATTTTATTACCCTCTATCCCCTTGTAGCCGGGTACCCAATAGATGTTCGGCTAGCCTGTCAATGGCTCCCCGGCTGCGAGAGACCTTTTTGGATGAAATACTATATGAGGTAACTGCCTTAGTTGCCACCTTGCTGACTATATATAGGTTGCCTTTTGAGTTGATTATCATTTCGGTTTAGGCTAGATCTGCTGCTATCCTCAGTACGAAAATCTCTTCCTGAAATATGCTGCAATGGTCAGGTAATCTTACTGGCCGCCTGACGTTCAATTCCCGGCAGTAAATCCCGGCACCCACTCCCGTTACCATTTTAGAGCCGTCCGTGAAAATGTTTAGAGACCTACGGCTAGGTTTCATTTCCTTGCGCCAACCCTCCTCCTCCGAAAACGTTGTACGAAAGCTTCGTTCCCACTTAAAGCTATGTGCCATGTAGTCCGTGCTTGCCGCCCCAATTGAGCTGTGCCCAAATATTCTGAAATTGAATTCTACTATGGTGAATCTACCAGCCGTTCATTGGAATCTAAGCGCTCCCGCGATGCACAGTGCCGCGGCATTGTGACATATCAGTTAGAAGAACATCTCTCGCAGAGTCAAAGTTCTGCGTGAAAGTCTTGAGGGTCCAGTATACGCTTGAAGTGGACCTCAGAAAATAATATTCTAGATGTGAACATTTTGCAGCCCTCGTTTAACTCAAAAAGTCAAAAGTACAAATGTCGTTCATCCTACCGAACCACTGCAGGAAGCGCCTTATTCTGATCGGAGGAGAAATCTGCTTAGGTATGGGTCTACTGACCAGTCTCATCACTCCAGGGAGGTATCCTGGAGTGCCGTTCAATGATTTCTGCAGGAGCTGCAGAGATGAGAAGGATCCTGAATCAGTAAGACACCCACTTTGTGAACGTCCCCTACTGGGGAGTAGTATACTGAGGTTCAACGGAAATATAAAGTGTAGTACGACCCATCCGCACTTGGGATGAACAACTGCCATACATAAATTCGTACACAAAGAGGCAATTGGTGATGTTTTTGTGGTCTAGGCAAAAACCCAAAATTAAATGTTTTACGCGGTCCTTGGTTCAGAAAAAATCCAAAATTAATTGAAAATATGTTTATCTTGAGTTTTATCTTCCACAAAAGGGTTATCAAGACTAAAAATAATCGCCTTGAGAGGAAGTAGCCAGCAAATATATCTTGCTCTTGGTTGATCACAAAAGTTTATGTTTCCTGAGAAAAATCCATCCTCTTCTATAATTCTGTGAAGTTGCACTCAGGTCATAAGTATTTTCCTTTCTCTATATTTACATACACAATGCATACATTCATATATTAAGTGCGGGTATTTTTTCATTTCTCTACATTGCAAAGAAAGAAAATCTCAAGCACTTAGCCAATAAGTAATCTGCTTATATCCGCTAATAAATTACAAATCAACTTATAAGCTTGCCATTTGGTATTTATACGTCTTCTTTGTTTCATTCATTTCTTTCAGCAAACAACTATAGAAAAAGGACGACGAGGGAGATTGAAAGCGCAACCGAAAAGAAGTTCAACAAAACTGGAGCAGTTCATAGTTTTGGTTATTTACAAATCTTGTTGATTTGTTGATTTCGAGAAAAGTTGTATCATTAGCAAATCAGGGCAGGAGCCGAAAAGACGACAACCGCAACGCCAAAGGAAGTGAACAAATACACATAAACAGAAAAGCGAAGCCACTAAGAAATTGGGAAAGGGACGGAAGTGGTGGAATTTTGGAACGAAAAGTTTGCGCAGCAACAAAAAATGACCAGCAGAAGTTACGAGGAATAATGACATCAAGAATGGTAGGTTTAGTAGCAGAGGAAAATTCAATTGTGTTGTAGTTGGTACTAGCAGCGAAATCGAATCATCAGAGTAAACACTGGGGCCATAATATCAAGACAAGTACGAGGACAAACCCGCCAGCAACAGCAATAAAAAAGAGGCGCACGCCAGCATAATCTTAGTAGGAAATAAACCAAGAAAACTAACAACATCAACATCAACATCAATGTTGTATAGTAGCCAGACGTAGAAGTGCCGAAAGATGGACAACGGCAAAGATCAAAGCATTAAACAGCCAAAGAAGTTAAAAAGTTGAAGGATAAGTAAAAGAACCTAAGAAGAAGGCTAAGAGTAATCACAAGAAGTAAGAAGCCAGAAGCATCGCTGTAGTCTCACCATCCGCGAAAACATCTGCAACACAGCCCAAGTCAAAAGACTTGTGCAACACTAGAGCAGCAGCAGCAGCGGCGGTGTCGGCGTTGTCGGCGTTGGCAGCTGTGGCGCCAATACAGCACAGGATAATGTGCGCGCTGACTGTCAAGCCGCATAAGCAATGCCACAAATGGACGGAGGAGCAATGTGATGACAGCAGAAACAGCAATATCAACAACAACTACAACAATATCAATGCCTGTGACGAGGAAAATGTTCAACAGCAAATTCAGGAACCAAACCAACAATTGCAGCAAACACTCGTGCTTGAATCAATGTTGGGAAGACAACACCAACGGAAACAGCGTGACAAAAGGCAATGGCAGTCAACGTGCAGCACGCGCCGTCGAGCAGGAATCAAGTGGAAAATTATAATATCAACAATAATTTTGCTATTATGCCGCATAAGTGAGTACAATACATACAAATTAAGCGAATGAATGGCAAAGTCACTTACATATGTATACATATATACCTATGTACGTACACACTACACACTATATCCACAGAAATAAATGAAAAAATAAATAAAGCAATTGCATCTGCGAGGAATGCAGTAATAACACAGCAGCAGCATTAAACACAATACGTTGCATGTAATTGTACACTTAATAGGAGCACTTGAGTATAAAAACAATGTACATATTTATGTACTTACAAAAATATCCTTAATTCTTTCGAGTAGATCTGTATAGATGTTGTACGCTGAGCACTGCACAAAGGACCAACATACATACTACATACGACTTTGTTTGTGAAATACATATGTACATAAGGTGCATTTTTTTGTAAGCGAGTGACAAAAGAACGCTCAACTCGGATAACATTTCGCTTTAGCTATTTAAGCAACCCTTTTTGGTAGCTGGCAAGAAACATGTAATTAGTTTAACGGGATTTAGATACAAAAACCAATTTAAATGAGTAATTATGCGAGGTATTTGCGTAATATGTATACTTTTTTAAAATATAAGTCACGCACATAAGGAAACAATAATTTCCCTCTCCACTTTCCCATTAACAATTCACAATGGAGCGAATTCACAATGGAGCAGTTTTTTCCCTTAACAACACTACCCTTTGAGGTCGCTTTTTTTTTAACCGACCTGGCTGAACTCGGATAAATAGCCGAGTTTGTGTTGCTTCTTTGCGTGTATTTCATCATTTGAGCGAGTATTCTTTTGCAGCTCGGTTGCAAAAGAATGCACCTTTAGTAAGTATGTGGCCAAAAGGAAGTGTGTAAGGAAAAGAAAACATAATTGGTTGATGCAAATATCCACATAATACAGATCAGCCAAAGAAATGAAGAAATATAAAACATATTTTTACCAGGGCCGGGCAGTGGGAGGGGAAACGCTTGACATGCATCACCTATTCCCCTACCATGCAGCTATAGCAGAAGTCGTGCGCGTGGTAGCCCATCCGCTTAACGCGTATTCTCATTAAGCAGTGCCGAGAAATAATACAGCACTGATAATGGGACGATCAATTAAGATTAGATCTTTTCTCGTTGTTGCATATCCAGGTTTGCTTAGTAACCGAAAGAAGGGTTCTCTTGCTTATCTGTCTTCTTTTACGAGCCTGCGATCCGAACAGGTTGGTTTGCACGTTTTAAGCAGCTTCTATAAGCCCTAACCTAACTAACCTGAGTGTTTGTCACCAAATTTTTTTTTCCAAACCTCTAGGAAATTGTCGAGGTCTTTGTAGAAGATTCTCGCTCCGTCTAGTCATATTTTACTATACCCCCACCCACTTGTTTCCTGCGTGCGCACCTAGTTGAAACTAATTCCGCTTCAGATTTATGAAAACCCATAATTCGTGTATGCTTGCCTACTAATAAAATTTTGCAACAAGATTGCTAACAATTTTTCATCTAGAAAATGCCGGTCACGTCGCATCACTCGCCAAGAGCTTACTTACCTGTAGTCCAAAGTACGTACCTAAGTTATCCTTGGAAATTGCCTGAATACTCTGTTAGCGAAGTACAATTACTCATAATGCTCTCTGCGTGCTCTTGTAGTTGTAAAATATACATACATATGTACATATGTACGTATGATAAATGCATACATTCGCTGAAGCACATTCACACATACACATTTAGATAAAAATATACACAAATAGACTCCTAGTCTAAAACACATATTTACGAACAAATAACAAAAAAATTACCAGAACAAAATGTAAAACAGCAATAAAAGCCAAACGAAAGAGAAATAAATAAATGGACATAACTGTAAAGCCAAATAAATTACAGCAATTTATAATTTTTCCAGCTTTCCTTTTCACATTTCGCCCACAGCTTTTGTACGAAATCTCTTTCATATTCTACCTCTTATTTTCTCTGTTTTGTTCTACTTCTTTCATGCTGCTTGGCTTTTTTCCATTATGCTTATCTGTGGCTGGAAATATTTTGCATTGTCTGCATTGTCGCCAACAAAAGGTCACGTGCTCGCCATTCGAAAGGGTCGTCTCATGTCCCCAAGCTCATTCACTGCCTTAAGCGGAGATCTTCATGTGCAGATACAATTCAGCGGTGAAGATGTGGCGGCTGCCGTTGCACTGGGTAATGGTGTTGTGGGCGTGATAGGAGATGGGACTGATGGCGGCCATGAAGTGCCGGCTGATGGAGCAAACGTGGAAAGCACGTCGACAGGAACAACAACGGGCCGAACGACAACGACTACAGCACGCACGCTGAATCCATTAGATGGGATGAGTTTTCGTCAAGTGGGTGGTGGCATTGGTGGTCTGGGTGCTGTGGAGAATACCATTACAAGCACTTTGGTAATTAGTAAAATCATTGATGATTTTGCGGATACTATGGAGACGACCACCAGGAATGATACAGCCACATATGCGTCATCCATGGAGAGTGCACAGTTCAATGGCAGCTTAACGAGCATATCGAGTGCGGAAGTAACAACGCCATCAGCGTCTAATGACACCCACAATCAGCTTGCTGCAACGAGGGTGTTGCACCGCAAGCGTAAAGAAATTGTTCAGAATATTCCTGTCTTCCCCGATCCGCGAAACAATGTCACACAAATATCCGTGCCCTGTCAGACATTCACACGCGGTGGTCTCTACGAAATGCAGGTTGTCACCAACTTAAAATCAACCGCGACCGTGTCTAACGTCAATAGCAGTGCTCATGAACCGCTACCCACGATGACCACGACTACGTTGATGCCCGTCGTCGATGAGCGCTTGCGTCAAACACTCGACGTCCGATGGCCCAGCGCTGACATGCAAGTGGAGCCGACACGCTTGCGCACCTACCCCGAGCAGCCGGTTGAGGTGACGTTGCGCTTTCCGGAGGTGAATTGTGAGCGCGCATGGCATGAGAGCAACTCACTGGATTTGCCGCAATTTTGGCTGGAGCTTATCTACTGCGGCAAGCAGCGTAACTGCAATGAAGTGTTGCCACAAAACATCAGCAAATCGAGTATCTTGTATATGGAACAAGTGCGTGGCTATCCCAAGCATAAAGTCGTGCATCTGGGCTGCGAACTTTTTGGTTTGGCCGGTAATTACGCAGTGCAGTTGCGACCGATGGTGCCGGCGCCGAATGTGCCCATTACGCGTCGCTTTCTCAGCGTTGACTGGAGTGATAAGTTTGTTTTTAATGTTTACGCGCGTAGCATTTTCCCCTGCGACCCACATACGGGTATTGGTGTGCTATATGAATATCCGTCTTGCATACTCGAGCAGGGCGATCGGGTGCGCGTTTTTGCAAAATTGCGCGCGGATGTGGCGTCACTTAAGCCGCCTACAACATTGCACTATGTGGCTGAACAACGCGTGGTGAAGAGTCATCATTCGCTCTACTTTAGCTGTGAGCTTTTCACTGAGAAATTTGTGGAGTACTGCTTCGTCTATGTAAGCCAGGCTATTTCCGGGGCAGTAGCTGATGTACGGATGGACTGCGTGCCGACATTGCCAGTTAGCGGTAAGTACAACCTTACTCAATCAGACAAAATCTATAGTTAATTATGTAGAAAGTAAAGTTGGGCTTCTGCGTAAAACTGTCGCGCTAAGTACGTAAAACTTAGAAAATACAGGCAACTTATTTGAAAGATTTGTAAACTTTTGTTTGTCGAAACTAATAGGCCAGACGCTGAAGAAAAAAAATAAAAATAATTGTGGAAAACCTGTCCAAAACTGTAGAAACATCCATTTAAAAATCATCCATGTTTGTTTCTTACAGCGACCCTTGTTGGTTCTTAAAGACCTCAAGTGTTCATCTCTCAACACATCGCATACATACTATATGCCACGAGAACTGACCAGTCAGTAGTCCCACAAGTTTTGTGCAATCCCATATGTTCAATGAAAGAAAATACCTAGCAACAACCACTAGCTTTTGCGGGGCGAAATATTCATCCAGTATCTGCCTGTGACTTTGATAGCCAAAGATGGGACTATAACTGGTTGTGGACCAAGGAATACCTGGTTTAAACCTTCTCCTGCCAAATGGTCAACTGTCCACCAAGTATCTACTCCTGAATAACCTGGCACCCAGAGTAAAACCAGTTCGTTATGTTTTGCAACATAATATGGTCTAGACATGCACTGTTGTAATTGTTTGGAAACAGTGACAGGGCTGGCCAATCCCTTGAGTGCAGCTTGCCTCTCAATATGTAAAGACCTATCTGCGTAATTTCCACAACGTAGTCCACAATGTAGCCTATGGTCTTGAGGATTGCAAATAGCCAAAAAGAAAGTAAATATTGTAACCGGTAGTCTCCTGATTCCGATTTTTCGTTACTTTTCGAACCATCAGAGCAGGTTCTACAATGTGTAATCCCGTCCTCAATATTGCGGTGGAGATAGCACTCAGCCTCACGGAACTCAACATTGCAGTACCTCTTCAGCAAAGCAACGGTGGCGTGCTGTCCTGTGGCAATTTCCGCAGAAGCGCATGCTTATTTTGGTGAGGCGATGTTTAGTCCCCCCATCTAAAAAGCCGGAACCATGCTTTCCATCTAATACAACGTTATCGATTTGGTTCTATCTTAAGTCCGCTTTAAGCGCTCATAGAAGAGGTGTTTGGCCACATACTCCTCGCCTTCCATTGGGGCGAAAATGAACCCGAAATTGAAAATTTTCAAAAATAAAAATAAAATCAAGCGAGACTACTCCCAGTAGCGCACCCTTACATGGTAGCTATAGTAGACACCAGAAGGGCCTACGCGGTTCCTTAGATGGCGGTGATGTCAGCCTTAGTCCACCCTGAGAACATCAACCAGCTGGGCTCAGGTAACTTCCCTTTAAGGTTCCGAACCTTGTGCATGTTCTCAAATCACAGTCCTTTAAAGTTTGTCGCGGTCATCATTAAAATAGGGGGTGTCATCCGGGGCTTCGTTTTCCTTTTAATTGGAATTCGATTTTACGTAGCGGTTCCCAAACTAAGCGCACAAAAGATGCTGACTTTATTTTAACAGGTACACGTTTGCATCCACTACCACTTTCTTTTAGCTGCACCTCGTGGTGGGCATACGCTGTAGACTTCAGTAAACCTTTAAACCGAATGAGTCGTAGTTGCCTCGACATAAGCTTAGACTAATCCTGAAATCCTGAAATTGGCAACTGTAAAATCAGAGTGTCACGGTCAAGTTCCCTATGTGTGGGAGGTTGCTGCCTGAAATTTGGCGTGGAAAATAACGTCCAAACCTGAATATTTCTTTCAGGGAGTCCGACTCCAGCGCCATCTATACGAACCAGTCTCTTTTGATTGAAATTTTCCCTGTGTACTACATCACAATATCATATCAGAGCATATCATTACATAGCTTACCGCGTAACGGGCCTTATGAATAAAACCCTGTGCACGTTGAAGAGCTTGTTGTATTTAATACTAGAAGATGATCATTAGGGTGGACCGAAAATCCGAAATTTTATATATATGGTTCATTATGTCTTAAAAACAACTTTTATTAGCAAAATAATATTTTGTTTAGTCTTCGTCATTACCAATATAAGTACGTACATAGTAGCGTTTAAATAATAACACTTGAAATTTAATTTTTGAAAAAATTTTATAACAAACAGACCTTTTACTCGATTTGTTCAAAATGTGAACTTCAAATAAATTTAAGTGAAAGGTATGTGAATTTAAGAAAACGCAAAAGCTTAATTTGTATGCATACGGCCTAATGTAATTTTGTTTTCTTTATAATTTTTTTTTATGAGGAATTGAATCTCGTATACTTAGTATATTAGTATTAGTGTAATTAGTAATTTAAGTATTATTTATTTTTCACCCATAAATATTTCGTTAATGTACATAAATACCGGCTTTCTAACGAAAATTGCAAATATTTGAGAAACTATTAATTGCAAATAATTTGATAACACTACCTTTTTGACCGAAATAAAATTTTCTGTAAAATAGGTAACTGATCGTTAGTATTTCACCTTTCAGTATTATATTAATGTACAAAACTAAGAAAACAAAATTTAAACACCTTGAACTTTGATGAACTAGGGCGAGCCTAAAATATTGACCGTAAATTTTTATCTTAAGCACAGATTTTTTGAAGCATACTGAAACATATTTTTTGCTTTTAATAAACAATAACACACAATAATTAAACAATAAAAATTCAATAAAATTGGATTTCCTGCCCACCCTAATGCTCAGGCATAGAGCATGATCTGGTCTTTCAAAGATTCAGCAACATTTTGAACATCCTCTAGCACGTGCTCAGGTTTTCATTCATGCGGCCCAATGGGATATCATGGTTTTATATGCAGATTTTCAGAGAGAGTGAAGATTCGATAGTTAAAAGCTGAATTAAACAGTCAAGTTTGCACAAAGGGAAATATAAAAACGGCCGTTTTGAAACGTTGAAATGCAGCCATCATTTTATGTAGAAAAAATGCTTTCAGTCTTCATCAATTGACATTCTAGTGCCAGTTAGAGTCATAGTAATTTAAGCTAAATTACTTAATACTTTTTAGGAAAACAATGCTCCACATTTTGAATCAATCCATATACTTACTTAACTTAAGGCCTAGTACATTAATACGTACATATGTGTAGTACATTCAGTGTCTATGATCACTTTGTACTGAAAATTGTATAACGACCTCGACTTGAATGACATTAGATCACATTTGAATAAACCGCTGAACATGTATGTACATACATACATATGAAATGTGTAGGCACTCGCGTTTAATTACGTAATGTGCACTTGCTTATGCATGTATATGCTTGTTGTCAGTTCGTTGGCGCTATGTAATGAAGACCGCAGTAATATTGCATATTTGCTTGGCAACACAAGTACATGAAATTCATAAATGCCAACGAATATGGGTCATAATGGATAGAGTCAAACAATAGGAATCGCTTAAAGAATTGATTCATTGTATATGTACATACATACGAGTGAGTGCATGTCTGCGTGCGAATGCTAGCACATTGTTATATTGCTATCTATTTGACAGCTCGTGAATTCAGGGCATGCACAGAACGCACTAATACGCGCATACGCCTTGAGGGTGCAACGGCATCGGCATCGGCATCGACGATTATATCCTTGCATACACAATCCAGTTGGATATGCCTGTTGCCCCCAGGGGTTGATGGCTTTGTGAAATTCTTGTTGCTGATGTTGCATTATACGCTCTTTATTGTCAAATGTTGTGTAGCAGCCAACTTACAACGCCCACAGCGTAGTATTTGTAGACTCTGGGTCTGTGGTATTATCAATACAACAATGTACATATATTTGCTGTAAACACTTGTCTTCTATATTCTGGAGCGCCAAGCGACTACCCACTAAACATCCTTGCCTGCAATACCAGTCGCATATTCATACATATAAACTATATTTTATATTTATGGGCATCCACTAATCGCCCCAGTTAGATTGGCGTCCCGCGCACTTGACGCCCACGCATCGCCGCATGCTTATCAATAACAACATAAAGTAATAGCAATATCATAAAAAATGAGAAAACTAACCGCATGTGTCATAGTTTCCATTATTAATGCGATTTTTTCTTTCTTTACTTTTTATATCTTTCATCCGTTCGTCGGCTGCTTTGGAATGCGGCGTATTATGATGACGTCTCAATACTTGTGCGCCACTCTACAACATTGCATGGATGGAATGAAATATGGCGGCGTTTGCTTTTGCATCATCGTTGTTGTTGATTCGTCTCAATTTTCCTGCTGTCGATATGACAGACTCCGACACTGGCGGCTGGGGACCGTGGAGCGAATGGACACCATGCTCGACGAATTGTCTAGGTGGCACGCGTAATCGCTATCGGTTTTGTGACTCACCGCCACCGCGATATGGCGCAAAGTTCTGTGAAGTAAGTAAATATATATATATATGTATATATGTAAGTATGTACAATTCAAAGTGTAACTAAACAAGTGTCAAGGATAGCGGAAAACCAAAAGCAAAACATACAGCAGTCAGCCAACCCCAGAATCCCCCCACCAAGCAATCTCTTAAATGACCGTAACTTCCACAGCTTCCGACCAGCTAAAGTTTTTTTTTTTGTTTTGTTCTTTGCATCCTATCGCTGGACCAACGCATCGTTAGACCACTTTGTCGC